AAGAACAGCCAGATTATGGATGGTAACTGACCGACACATACGACTGACGGAATTCTTAGTTCAGCAGATAAGACGCGAAATCGGATCGCATTGGGCCATTCATTATTTTTCAGTCTAATCTAGAGACACAAGTTTAGTTAATCCCTTCTAGCTTTCATTTTACATTCATATTTTACATTGAAAGCCACACATTTCCAATTTATTTATTTAAGCTTGAGGGTGAGTTTATTCCAGTGATCCATTATCACAACGGTAAAATCTGCGATCTATGGGTTGAGCAAGTTTGAGGAGACTCTTCTTGAGTAAATCATTTTGCCTTTAGCATTTTTGAAATTAACCTCTCGTATTCAAATGTTTCCGGTGAAAGAGTACAATGTGAGATTTGACTGGCGTTATTGATGGTTGAACTAGGGGTATCTGAGGTGATAAAATACTAGTTCGCCAAACTACACACAAGGTAATCGTTCGCCTAAGTAAAAGCATTATGATCTAGTATGGATGATGTGTATTGAACAGTTTTAGTCATAGCTTACTAATCCATCATGAATGAAAAAACATAAAATTTCAAAAGGAATGTGGTCCTACGTGTCCGTCAGTTTCCGTTTGAAAACTGGTCATGTTAAGAAAGCTAAGTATATTGTATAGCATGACGCAGTTCTGCTCCAGGACAAGCATGTTTTAGGCTTACTGACAAAGTTGGTAAAATTCTTTGGTAAACTGAGATATATTCACGCGATCAAAAATGTTAAACGAAAATAAGTTTTATTTTCCTTCTGGAAAATCAAGTTTCCATTTTGTTAGAAATACAGGATTTTCTGGTGCTATTTCTTTCATCTCTGATGAACTTTGGGAAGCCAGATTCTACCGTATATCAGCAACATATGAGCAACATATGCACGTGGACGTAGCTGGCTTGTCATTTGGTTGGTATTGTATCCTCCGGTGAGCATCTATTGCTAATATATATATATNAATTATATATGGTTCCCATTTCGGGAAATCTTGTCTCAGAGAAGGGTGGAAATCTATCCGACTTCTGATTGATGGGATGAATCAATCTGCCAAGTATACTAATCTTGGCAATAAGCTGATTGAACGCCAACTATTTTTAAATGATCCAGTTAACGCGACTTCTGCTTAAACTGTTTTTGAACGGCCTGTCAACTAAATTTTGTGTGATTATTATTGTCTTTATCAAAACTACTCGCAAACCAATACTCACTCGAGACTGAGTATGGATTCCAGTGCTAAGTCTTCAAGAGCTCCGGCTACCAAAACGGATGTCATACACATGTCTTGATACATCCAATTTCTGAGATGCTTGGTTTCTCATTTCATTATGCGCTCTCATGGACATCGGTACCCAGGTTGTTTGCAAGAGAAACTGAGAACTTGTGAATGCTAATTCATTGCAACATCGATTATAGAACCGCTTTGTGTAGGCTGGGGTGGGGATAAGATAAGTGAATCAAGTGCTCCAATTAAGGATTCCTCCACTGGTTTATAAGGTTTTGAAAGATACCCATTGCAAATATCTTTCCAATTTATATGAAACCTCATTTTTATCACGTAGACGCAAATGTCACATCCTAAAATTGCTCTTTGAATATAGTAAAGTTAGAAACACTAGCTGGTATAGTTTATGATAACCAACAAAGAGCACTGAGCAACTAATTCGTCCACTCTGGGACACTTCAGCAGTGTCTACTATTTGTGTCCCTGTCAAGACTCGAACCGCGATTCTTCGGGTTGGGAGTTCAAACTCTCACCCCTGAGCTACACAGTCGACGGTCATCACCTTGTGCGAATGGCTCAATTAATTTTAGATTAGTAAGCTTAGATTAACCCATTCGATTGTTCAGAGGTACCAGGCACTCTTGATTTTTTTGGATATGAGTTTCACTTAGTGGGAGAAAGCTGATTCCCCACAATTTCATGTATTTCAGGCGATGGAAATGTTTGTGATAACCAACAAAGAGTACTGAAATTATGGGGAATCAACTGTCTCCCAAGGAGTGAAACCTACACCCAAGAACATCAATTGTGTCTGGTGCGTGTTCAAAATGGAATGAGCTAATCTAAGTTGCTACTGTCAAAAAAACTGGCTAGTACGTTGCTACTCAACCGTGGTAACTCTATTCTCTTTGTGAAAGTCATCACGTTATCATTTCGCTGTCCATCGTAAATTATGCAATATTTTATAGATACTCTACATGTTGTATTCGTAAGGTTCTAGGACAGAATCGAAAAATAGAGCATTTGATGCAGCGATTAGATCCGTAAGCTTTTCTCACAACCTTTCCCGCTTTCTGCAGTTGCAGCCATAATTCCACATAAGATGGTTGGTCTTCCACATCAACAAAATAACCAAAACGTTCCGATGTCTGTCTGGAGAAAAATAGGAGAATTTTACAATTATCCTATCCAGTGATCGATTATATATATATATATATATATATATATATATATATATATATATATATAT